ATGTTCCTATCTTTTTAGTTTCTCTAAAATATATGTTCGATTTACTCATGCATACATGTGAAGTGATTTAATGTATGTACCTAAAATTTTTCTAAAAACTCTAAATAAAAAATTGTTGAATTTTTATAATTGTTGTACTCCTTAAGGGTACATATTTTCAAACTATGAATTTTAAGGGCGTCGTAACTAATTCTTATTCCCATTTGCATGATAAATTGTCGCTTACGATATAAACGCAAATAGCAGCATCCATGGCCCCTTCATATCATCTTAAACTTTCATTCTCATTTATTTACACCATTTTTTCTTTTCAGATTACTGCATGATACAGTTCATCAAACCGAATCTTCTTGGCACATATAAAGAGTATTTAAATCGTTTTGTAAATCCGATCACCAATGGCCAATATACGGATTCAACTGAGCGAGATATTCGCCTGATGAAGCATCGATCCCATATTTTGCACAAAATGTTGGAGGGTTGCATTCAAAGGCGAGATTATTCGGTGCTGGCACCGTATTTGCCGCCGAAGCATGAATACACAGTTCACACAACTCTATCTGACTTACAGCAGCAGCTGTACGATTATTATATGACGACCCAGCGTGATGTCAGTGGTTCCGATATTAGCGGAAAAGGGGCAAGATTGTTCCAAGATTTTCAGGATTTGCGTAGAATATGGACCCATCCCATGAATTTACGAATGAACAGTGACACGGTTATTCGCAAGCGTCAACAGGCTATTGACTCCGATTCAATGGAAGATTTTATTGACGACGATGATGACGAAGCAGAGTCAGGTTCTGGATCTGACTCATCGGCAAATTCATCGAAATCATTTGCTAGTGGCGGCGGCGGCAATGCAAGTGGTAGTGCACGGAGGGGCTCAAAAGGCACTCGCACACGCAGCCGTAAACAAACTGACAAGGAAAGTGACAACGAGGAGATAGAGCCGTCGCAACCAGAAGCTGATCCATCCGAATGGTGGAAGCGTTTTGTGGAGGAAAAAGAGTTGAACAACATAAATCATTCCCCGAAACTGGTGATACTAATGAACTTGTTGCAAGAATGCGAAGTTATTGGCGACAAACTTCTGGTGTTTTCACAGTCTCTGCAATCTATAGATGTTATAGAACATTTTTTGGCGTTAATAGACAGCAAGACAAGAGGAAACGAATATGATGGTAAAACATACTAACTAAGCTGCTTACAAAAAATATAAAAATAATATATTCTAACATCTTCTAGGTGACGTTGGAGATTTCAAAGGTTTTTGGCAACCAGGAATAGACTATTTTCGTCTAGATGGCTCATGCTCTGTCGAAAGTCGTGAGGCTATGTGCAAGAAATTCAACGATGTTGACAATTTAAGAGGTCGCCTCTTTCTTATATCAACGCGTGCGGGTGGCCTGGGAATCAACTTAGTTGCTGCAAATCGCGTAGTTATTTTCGATGTGTCTTGGAATCCTTCTCATGATACCCAGAGCATTTTTAGAGTTTACCGTTTTGGCCAGGTTAAACCTTGCTACATTTATCGCCTAATAGCCATGGGTACAATGGAGCAAAAAGTATATGAGCGTCAGATTGCAAAGCAAGCAACAGCTAAGAGAGTTATTGATGAGCAACAAATTTCTCGACACTACAATCAAAATGATCTTCAGGAACTATATTCCTACGAGCTGAAACCCAGCACTGAAAAAGAAATACCAATATTGCCCAAAGATCGGTTATTTGCAGAGTTGCTGAGTAAACATGAGTCATTGATATTCAAATACCACGAACATGACTCGCTTTTAGAGAACGAGGAAAGTGAGAATCTCAATGAAGATGAACGTAAAGCTGCTTGGGCTGAATATGAGGCAGAGAAAACTCGTAGTGTCCAAACTGCTCAATATATGTCTTACGATCGTGGTGCTTTCGGCGGTCAATTTGGCAACGCTTCGGGTGGAGTAACCTCAAATCGCATATTCGGCTTTCGTTCCGATGTGCTGTTGCAGTTGCTAAATATGAAGATTGTCAAGGATCATCCGGAAGTAACACATACTCAAGCTCTTCAACTTGTTCCCACGTATTTACAACATTTGTACACCGAAATGAACAATAACAATCCTACAATGTATAAAGATCTGCTGGCCATACATGCCACAATCGCCCACCCGAGCGGCATGTACATGAGTCCACTTTTGTACGCAAATCAAAATCCCAATGCAGCGGGTTATTTCCAAGCAGCTGGTGGGCCTAACGGTCAGCAGATTGAAGCTGTAGGGCAAGGCCCGGGAGCACCATCGGGTGTCGGTTTTGAAGCTGCCCCCCCGCCCGGATTCAAAGAGAATGAGGTATACGAGATTGACTAATCGATGAATTATTGCTAAAAGAATATCCCGTTTTCCCTTAATATTTGTAAACGATGAATATCCTAGGGGGTGATATTCATACACTTTTGATTCTGTTGCAGAAGGGACACAAATCAATGTGTATGTCTTCGTTTTATTATTTTTTTTTGAATTTTCCGCACTTGCTCTCAAATGTTGTGGCAAATGCCTACTACAAATATGCCTACATAATGATAAAAATAACAACTATAACTGTTTAAAAAAATATCCTGTTTTAAAATATCAAATTTATAGAATGCGTAGAAATGANCGCCTACTACAAATATGCCTACATAATGATAAAAATAACAACTATAACTGTTTAAAAAATATCCTGTTTTAAAATATCAAATTTATAGAATGCGTAGAAATGAATTCGAAAGTAGAGTTTTTAAGTTTATTTTTTTCACACTGAGTATTAATATAAGAAAATACATACCTACATATTATTAATAATAAATATTCGTTCATAGGCATCCTTTTTTTTGCAAAAACAAAACAATATAACACAAATAATTGCAAACACGTAAATAATTTGAGTGACTACATATATTAAATAAATATATCAAACAAAATAAGTTGCCGTACGATGCTTTTTTTTTGTTTTTTCTTACCTATTTTATACATTGCTAGGAAGAGACTATACCTGCCTTCGTTTAGCTTCCCATCAAATTTCAAAATCATGTCATATTGGCATCTGAACAACAGCTCTGTATTTCCTATCTAAACTTAAACGGCTTTATTATTCCTCTGCAAAGTTACAAAATTTTCAAATAGCGCTTTTTGCATTAATCCCTCCTATTATGAATTTCCATACGATAGACGATAACCGCTTGCAAACGTATCTTAGGAATTAGTTTTCGTATTATTCTTTTCATACACCCGACAGATGTATTATTTTGCATGTCTTTGGTTTTGTTCACCTTTTATCGTTATCATTAACCAAAATCAGTTAAAAGGTGTTCGTACGAGGCGATGAACTTTTGCGTTCAACTCACGCAGGGTGCACGAAAAAAAAGTTGAATGGCTAAATGTTGGCTGGCGACTACTTTGTTGAAAGCGATTACATGAAAGGCCGTTCAACCAAAAGTAGAATGCAAAGTTGAACAACGCAAGCACCTTTCTATGGCGAATACTTTGATATTTTTTTATATTTTGATATTTTTAGCCATTCAATTTTCTTTTTCGCGCAACCCTGCGTGAGTTGAACGCAAAAGTTGCCTGAAAAATCGCCTCGTGCGGGAGCCCCATTACGCTAACCATTGGATGTGCTACGACAAACATCGGTTCGTAATAGGGGATAACAGAATGCAAGCGTTTATCGTGCATCGTACGAATTCATAATAACGGAATGATAATGATATGAACAGTTATCGCTCGTTTGCTGGAGGAACGTCCTAATCTGGATTGTTTTTTTTTAATTTAAGTGTGCAAAAATAGTTTCATGTTGCGGAAAAATTCATTAATTTCCACTTTGTTTAGCAATCATAACCAGAACGCAATTACTGGAAAATCGATGGAGAGGATTACACCGGACATCGACGAGACGGAGCTTCATCTGCCTCGGGTGACTAGAATCATAATAGCCCAACTTCGCTCTGGCTACTGCAGCAGGTTAAACTCATACCTGAGCAGATTAGACACAGATGTGCCAAATGAGTGTCCGGCATGCGGACACCCCACCACTCGAAACATCTCTTCGTATGAACGGGAAACCCGACACTGCTAACGCCTTTGTCCCTGTGGACCGACCGAATTGAGACTGCACGCTTCTTAGGGCTTCCGTTAGTTAAGCTTGACGACAACGGCTGAGATATTAACCGATCTGGGCGGGGTTGTTGTAGCCGCCACAACAACAACTACATACGGCCTTCAAAGAGCCCGTCAACCACCCTCTGTGACTTATGCCCCATGAATGCCAGGCGCCCGATCACCACCAACCGCAGATAAGGAGCTTCAGCTGCCACGAGAATAAGGGAGTACTAGCAACAACAACATAAGTCATCCATTTATTTAATTTTTTTTATCGCATACTTATGTACATACAATACTTAACGTCACTTAAAATGCAAAAAGCCGAAAATAATTTTTTAGCATAAAACGATGTACTTCTCTATATGTACTTGAATGGATGTTTATGATTTGCTAGGTTATTTTGGAGATGATGCTTTTCTGGGAAATGTTTGACTGTTACCTGGGGGACCACAGAAACGAAACGGAACAAGCTGTTAACAGCTTCCGGCTGATTTCAGGCAGGTATTCTCGGAGTAGCACCAGTGATCGGACTCAATAAAAATTCTGTGTGGTAGATTCTGGAAAAACGTGGTAGATTTAGAAAAAATGTGGTAAATCTCAGGTTTCGTAGTACCGTTTTTCTTATCCGGTACCTGTTAGTGCTTTTGTTTGAACATTCTTTACTTTATTAATTGTTAGTGCTTCGCGTATCCGTTAAGTATTAGTATTCTGTTGTTTTTTTTTTTTGTTAAATTTTATTTTTTATGTTTTTACATTATTTTTTATACTATTATACTATCTAATCACTTCATTACTTTATTTCCCGTCCCCGCGATTATAAGAAGCCTCTTTTATATAGTGTTTTTTGCTTTTTTTTATTTTATTTTATTTTTTTATTTTTTGTTTGTGGGCTGTAGACGCCTAACTAGCATGTCCTGCTATTTTTAGTGGGCTGTATATGCCTCTTTTAGATATGTTTACTTGTTGCGTTTTTAACTTTTCCCTATGTGTGCACCTGATCGTTTTTTTTATTTTATCAAAGCTGAACGAAATCTTTCGATCTGCCCATTGACTTCATTTCTTTGCACTGGAGTTTGGTACAATTCAGTCCCTAAACCTCTTATATAATTGCTTACTAGAGGGCTCATAAATCCTCTCTCATTGTCTGTTACTATGACCCGAGGGGTTGTGAAGTAGTGTATAAGCTTGGCAAATTTTGCACGAAGAGTGAGGGATGAGCGGTTCCTTATAAGGAAAAGTTTTGCAAACTTCGAAAATTTGTCAATACAAGATTGAAATTTTTCGTTTTTTGGGGGTACCGCGGGATGTCTATCGTACTTGTTTGTGAGGCAAGTTTCACAGATAGATGCGAATTTCCTTATCGGACTTGCCATATAGTACTTTTCCAGGATTTGCTCCTTATTCTCCCTGGGGTTTCTGTGTGCCCACTTATGTTCATCTTCCACTATTTTTCAAATTCTGTCTTCGTTGGCCACCTCTTCAACTACCCGTTGAGTTATCCTAATTTTATATAAGAGAAAATGTTCTAAATATACCTCCTGTAGGAGTTTCAGACGATTCTCTGGGACTTTAATACCGTTTATGAGTGACCGATTGAGTCGCTCCTTAAGTACTTCTATTACTGTTGGTTTATCGATGCTATCCAGTCGAGTAAAACCAGGATGTGGGGTTTCTACGCATGTCAAAGCATTACCTTCCCTGAGCACTATTTCATTGCGAAATACATTCAGGGGACACTCGACGTGGGGAATGAGGTCCGATGCATCTTGCTCCGCGCTATGGACAGTCGCCATATCGCTTTCAATTTCTGAAGCTGAAGCGCTCTTCAATTGCCCATTGATTCTGCGCTGATTAAATTGTTTGCTTGGCACGGCAGTCTTGACAGAGCATCGGCCACGACATTTGATTTACATGGAGTGTAAATCAATTCGTGGTTATGCTCTTCGATTCTGGCCTTCCATCTCTTCAGCATTTGTGGCGTAGTTCTCTTCTGTTCGGGTAAGGGAGCGCTATATATATGCGATTGGCCGGTCTCTTCCGGGTTCGCCTTCAGTAACACCCCTCCTATGGCATAGTTCGAAGCATCCGTTGTATGATTGAATGATTTCCCGAAATCAGGAAAAGCAAGGACGTCTGAGCAAACAAGCAATTTTTTAGGTCCTCAAACGCCTGAAGAGCATCCGCTTCCAGATTAATGCGAACGTTTCTCGACTAACTGGCCTTGATCAGCGCATTTTCCCCTCCCGTTAGGTTGGTTAATTGTTTCGCCACTCTGGCGTAATCCCGGATGAATTTTCGATAATACGATGACATTCCAAGAAAACTTTTAAACTCTTTTAGCGTTCGGTAAGGTGACAAAGCTTCTATGGCCTGGACCTTTGAGGGGTCTGCTTTTATACTATCGGAGGTTATTATATACCCCAGGAACTCTACCTCGGTTCTCTTAAACTTTGTTTTTTCTATGTTTACCCTGACGTTGGCGTCTGCCAGACTTTCGAATACTATATCGACATTTTTCATATGCCCGTCTAAATCTTTACCAAACACTATGATATCGTCAATATAGACGTCGCATATTTCCCTAATATGTTCCTTCAAGACGCCGTCTATCATGCGCTGAAATATGGCCGGCGCATTCCTCAGCCCAAAAGGAAGTCTTAAAAATTCGTACTTCCCATTCATGGTAGAAAATGAAATGGAACCCGGACGTTAGATCGACGGTCGTGAAGTATCTGGCGTGGCCGAGGCTGGCTAATGTTGCGTTGATGTCAAGGATGGGATAGGTATCGGATATCGTGATTGCATTTAGGCGTTTAAAGTAAACTACCTCCTGTATTGCTTTTCTCCGGACGGCTTTGGGTTTTTAGGTACCACCCAAATTGGAGAATTGTAAGGGCTTTTGGATGTAGTTCGGGAATCTGTCTGTTCACCTCTTCTCTCATATTCGCCGGGTAGGGATAGCTTTTGGCGTATAAAGGATCTTCTGTTGTAGTTTTTATTTCGGCCCTGATGTTGATGTGATGAAGTTTTAATGTTAATTTTTGCGCTCAAAGGCTCAAAGAGATGTGAATATTTTTTAAGTAGAGATTTCAGAGCGGGCAACACTGCCTCCGGGATCGATGCCTCAGAAAAATTAATACCCCAACGGTTTTATTCTTGAGTGGAATTTTAATATCTGGATCTATTTTCAAGGTATGATTTTTCCTATCTATCACAGCCCCAATTCTTTCAGGGTATCGTCGCCTAACTTGTTTATGAACATGTTTGTTCATTTAACTGGTTAAAACCCATTAAACCTGTTTAGCTCGTCAATTTGAACGTAGTATTACATTGATTTTTGATGTACGACCAGCTGTAATTTACTTGCACAAACACATTTAACACTATGAAATTTCTTTCGTACTCGAAAATTCGTTTA